CCGTGGGGCCGGCCAGCCTGAGTCTGCTCACCTTCAAAGTCTATGCATCACAGAAAAAGGACTCACCTCCCAAAACTTCTGTGAGGGTTAATGAGGTAACGTGCTGTTCACGTTGTGATGTGTGTGTGTGTGTGTGTGTGTGTATTTTTTGTTTTTTAGTTTGTGGTGTACAAAACAATGTTTAATAGTTATACATTTCACCCCTCACAAAGTGCTAACTCCCCTCCCCCCATCTATTGACCCTCTGACATCGTATATATCTATTACAATTCCATTGATTCTATTCCCTATACTATACTCCACGTCCCGTGACTATACATATATGTTAAATTATAGTTGACATACAATATTATTCAGCATCAGCTTCAGGTGTACACTTCAGTGGTCAGGCATCTACACAGTCCATGAAGTGGTCTCCCTAATAAGACAAGTGCTCATCTGACACCCTACAAAATATTTACAACATTATTAATTATATTCCCCGAACTGTCTTTCATGTCCCTGTGGCAATATTGTAGTTACCAATTTGTATTGTCTAATCCCTTCCCCTTCTCCCTCATCTCCACACCCCACCCATCTAGCAACCATCAGTTTTTCCTCTGTGTCTCTGAGACCATTTCTGTTTACTTTGCTTATTTATTCAGTTCTTTAGATTCCACATATAAGTGAGATAATATGGTATTTGTCTTTCTCCGACTGACTTATTTCATTTAGTGTAATGTTCTCTAGGTCCATCCATATCTTTGCAAATGGTAAGATTTCATTACATATATTTTGAACACCTGATTTACTTACTATAGGAAGTATACAAATTGTATATCAAGAAGATACGACATGTTAGAGGACATTTAATAGGAGGAAATATATTTCCTTATAGTTTGTTTTTCTTTGTGGGGGCTACTAAGCTGGCTTTCTCAACAGATAAACTTTAATTGATGGTACTTAGCTTAGGGCATAATATTTCCTAGATTTTTAGTGGGGAATCTGCTATGTCCCAGTAGATTGTGAGCACAGCTTGCTTCTAAATGATCTGCCTGTTTCTGGACTGCTTACCAAGCCAAGGAAACATTTGTATTTCCCCTCTGTAAAAAAAAGAAAGGCCCAGCTAGTCTCATTCTGCTTCTTGGCTGGATTAGAGGCTCTTAAGTAGATGCTTAATAAATATTAAATAAATAAAACAAGAAATCTTCTCTCCATTGTTTACATTCTCATTTGTCTATACTTTCCACTAGTATTTGGTTTCTGTTGACTTTGAATAAAGCGACATAAAGATCTACCTTCAGTCATGAGCAGTGTTACTTAAACGGTGCTTACATAAAGCTAATTAGCTTATCGTTTGCCCTTTACTCTCTTCTTCTCAGCCCTTGGGACAGTGGAATTTTTGAGGGTGAAGAAGGCAGCGAGTGGTGGCTGTGAAAAGTTTCTTCTCTGCGCGGGGAACAACCATGCTGCCCTGCTTTGATTAGTCCCAGACTAAGCATTTGGACTAAGTAACATGCTCTTCAGTTACTCTCAAGCTTTTCTTTTTTTTACAAATTAAAGTTTATTGGGGTGACAATAAACTTTAGTAAAGTTACATAGGTTTCAGGTGTACAATTCTGTAATACATCATCTATAAGCTTTTCTTTTTTTTTTACCCCCCTCCAACTCACCCTTCAGAGTAATATTACCCTTTTTCCAAACTAAATCTAAGGTGGTATATCAAATTTCAGTATATAAAACGGACAAAGGGGGACTGCTTTGTCTGTTACCAGTAGGGCTGCGGGAGGGTAGAACCTGGCCCTGCCCTTTTGGCCTTGGCCTTGTTGATTAAGGAAATAAGGTTGCAGAGATCCTCTGAAGGAAGGTTCAGGGTGCACGTAACCCTTAGAATCCCTACAGTTCATGAATTACTAAAAATATGCTGCTTACAAATTTGACAATTGATTATGTTATCTCATTACTGTATACTCTTTTTTTTTAAATTTATTTTTGTTTTGTTTCTTAATGTATGCAGCTTTCACTCTACTCTGTTCCTGAGGGTCAATCTAAATATGTGGAGGAGCCAAGGACTCAACTTGAAGAAAGCATCTCACATCTTCGACAGTAT